GGTAGCTCAGGGAGCTCGTGGAGTAGTGGTTCAGAGTTATCGGACAACAGCCAGAGAACTATCAGCAAGTTCTGCAGTTTAGGTGAGTCTCCTCACTGTTTGTATGGGTCTACGGCCACAATGCCAACCCATGTAGGTATGTATGATAGGAAGACCCGGGGGTTAGCCCTAGGCATTATGCATGAAAGACTGGAAGGCGGCTCCTGGCACACAGTATGTTATGTGTGATAGGAAGACCTGGAGATTAACCCTAGGCATTATGTAAGGAAGACCGGGAGGTGGCTCCTAGCACAATATATGCGGAGTAGCCTAGTAGAGTAGTATGTGTAGTTGTCTTTGTGATACTTGCATGAAAGACCAGGGGGTGGCCCTTGGCACTTGTTTGTAAGACCCAGGGAGTGGCCCCATGCTTGACCAGGAAGACCACGTGCGGCTCGTGGCATAACTGCAAGACTATGTTTGGCACATAGCACATTGGCAAGACTATGTTTGGCACATGGTACCTTACTTGATTATGGATATGTTGGTTATGTATGGCTCTTGGCTATGTATGGCATGTATGGATCAAATGGTTTGTATGGTATGTGGTATCTGGGAACTCACTAAGCTTCGTGCTTAAGGTTTTCAATTTTGGTTTCAGGTATTACCGGTAGCGGAGGGAAGAGCTCGGGGTGATCGCATGGCACACACCATAGATTAGACAGCCTGGGAATGTTTTACTCTGATAATGGAGATATGTTTTGGAATTAATACTCTGATTATGTTATGGATTGCTAAATGTGTTTTAAGTAATGTTTTATAAGCTTCAAATTGGGACGTTACATACACTACAAGAAATTTCGGTCTTTACCCGCACATATTATTTGTGAGTAAAAGCATCTTATATGTTGGTATGCATTATTGCCTACACATATGTTAAGTGTAACTATGTGCAGGCTCATGCATGTTGATTCAAATAATTAGCGACACATAGTTTATGCGCATATATAATGTATTATATACCTACACATACATGAGCGGCTAAAAGTAGTAAATATGTATAGGTAGAGGTAGTTATTTTTTTTTGGTTGTTGATGATGTGACTGATGGCGTAGGCGCTGACACGGCTGATGATGTGGATGTTGATGTGACTGTTGGCATGGTCAATGATGTAGACTACACATGTCATAAAAATATGTATGGTAAGAGTACTTTTATGTGTAGGTACTGGTTTTGATATGTGTTGATAACAGTATATTTATATGTAGGTATTAAAAACGATATGTGAGGTAATACAAAAGAAATGCAGACATTTGTATACATAGAAACGTATGCATGCGAAATAGCATTATAAATTGAAATTTTTGTAACATGATAATTCAAACCACAAGAAATTACAAGTCTCAAAACTAGAAATGCTTAAACTACCTAAAGATCAACTAGTCTTGAGTAGCTACTTGAAAATACTAAAAAATCAAGAATGTGCCTTCCATATTATCATAGATATCAATATTTTCATCATGAGATTGTCCGAACTGAGTGTGGTTAGTGTACCACACTTGGATGTATCACCATGAGATCGTCCTGATGATGTGCTAAGCGTAGGGGGCATGATGTTTTTCTCGATCAATATTTGCTTCATAGCTGCATGTTCCCTTTTCATTGTTTCCAATTCATCCAACAAATCATCGTAACTATGACACTTAGATTTCTTAGAAGAACCTGCAGTGTTACCAATGACAACATGATCATGTCCCCACCCGAACAAACGAACAGAGCTTCCTCCAAGTACCTTCTTTAGAATCAACTTGTCAATCATTGTTTCCAAGGAATGCTCGTTTCTCATCTTTTCATTTCTTCCTATTAGTGTTTAAAAATAATACAAGGACAATAAATAAATTATCTACCAAATAAAATATATTCAACGATTGAAATTAGCAGCTACACTTTCATATTTTGCAGCCATATCTATAGATCTCCAACCTTTTTCTTCATCCCGGTGTGTAAGCCACCAAGTCTCAATATGACCTGATAAAGAATCCACAAAATGTACAAGCTCAATCTCATAGCGTTTTGTACTCTTCAACCCCTTTATTGTCTCCATTTTTCGCTTTCTGCAAGCAATACGATAGCTGCCACAACTTCAACCTCCACCGCCACAGCATGTTTCGAATCCTACTCCCAAATATTGATTCATCAAATGTTCATCATCAGCAAATTCATCACTACTGTGATTAGAACCAGTTGTTGCACAAGTGAAAAAGAATACGGAATTTCCCCCACAATCGAACATTATTTAGGGGTTTTAGCCATTTTTGGGAAATCTGGACACCGTGATCAAGCTTTGGAGTACATCTAGACAATACCAATTGAAACCCACATCAGAAATCTAGGAAGCTGTAATGAACTATGCTCAAATTCATGGAGATATAGATCTTGAAGATAGTGATGAGGAGATATTAATCAATCTTGATCCATTAAAGATTGACCTAGAAAAATTCTAACTCCACTTCCGAAGAAGATGATGTATCTTACTCACGGGTATTTAAAAGGAAGAACGGTGCTGACTGGTCCAAGATTGATTATCTTCTTGAAATTTTCTACCAAGGGTAAGAGATGGATACATGGCAGGGAAATGGTGGGTAATGTGTGTGTTTCTTCAGGTTTACAAGAGAGAGAGAGAGAGAGAGAGAGAGAGAGAGAGAAAGAAAGAAAGAAAGAGAGAGGTGGGACCCTTTAATATTAAATAATCAGCTTTTTTTTTAATAAAATAAGACAAATCTTCATAAATGGTCCATATGGCAGTGAAATGATAGAAATACCCTTCCCTTAACGGCCAAAAGATAACAGAGTGAGCCGAAAGGACCAAATGTTAGCAATTTTGAAACCACACGGACCATCTGTGAGGTTTTTTGAACTTACAGACTAAACCTGATATTTTTGAAAACCATAGGGACCGTTTTCGAAGTTTTGTCTTTTTGAATTAAATAGTAAATACAAAATAAAAGTATGGCTAAGATAAAGGAAACTTAATCTATGTAAACATCAAGTTCATTTCCACAATTAGTAATGATGTACTATTACACCACTTCAACATACTCCCCTAGTTATCCGAATTTTGAAGCACTCAATGTACAAACTTTGTTGTTGAATACTGCCAACCCATGTTTTAGTGGTTGGTATCACCCAATTGCGTTCATCACTGTTGACTCTTGTCTCGATATCATCTAAATAATGAGATAAAAATGTGGCAGCCTCATCGACAACATATGCTTCAGTAATGGATCCAGCGGTCAATGTGTCTGAGTGGCTATACTCAGATAAGAACCTCCGGTCAATGTGTCTGAGTGGGGTCCTCCGGTCCCACAACTCGGGTGGACCCTCTAGTCCTAACTCAGTAAACTCAAAATAACACACAACATAAATCACAAAGACATAATGCAGGATATCACAGTACATAATATAAGCACATAAGACCCTCTGGTCACACATAGATTACCACTCAAGTTAAGTATAGTGAGAAGACTCACCTCGGATGATAAACAACTCCTATAGATGTTGCTGATGCACACCAACCTCTAACACTGGACCAAGATCCACAATTACCCAATCAATATCTAATTTTAAACCCTCACTCTTTAGGTCTAAAGGTAGTCTACTAACTTTCCCATCAAAAACCTAAAATCATTGGGCCGACCAAAGCCCAATAATGAATGGGCCCTCCTGAGGCCTAACTTACATGTCCAAGTGACAAGCCCAACACAAGGGCCCAATGCACATATATGTATTCCTCTGGCTTAAAATTCTAGTGCAACAAGCTCAAACTCTAGGCCCAACAGTCAAGGCCCAAAATGAGACTTAGCCCGAAAGTCTACAGTGATCTTATGTGGGGCGTACCTCCCTCGGTATGCTCAGCGTACTCACGAATCCAGATTGGCCATTAGGGTCACTTGGTCAGTACATGGGGCGTACTGGAATTACGCTCAACGTACACCTAATTTTATCTTCCCACTCCTTTGGTCTTAATCCGTTAAGACATTAACTCAAATCTCAAATTTGAACTCCCTAATGGCTCTTATGAAGGGTTTTGAGCATTCTAGCACTCCTGTGGTGTATATGTTACCCTAGAAACCTTGGATCTATGTTTTATCTATGATACAAGCAAATTTGTTTTTCCAAGGTTCATAACCTATTTAGCATACATGGAGAACTTTTAAGCATAAAAGATAGTGTGAAATACATACCTTTAGTTGCTTGAATTCCTTGAGAACCTTGTGAGCCTAGCAGCTCCAGTGTGATGCCTTAAATGTCTCACACAACACCAAATACACTTGGAATAACCTTGAGAGAAATAGAACACTTCTACAATCGGCTATGCCCTCTTGTTCTCACTACTCCCGATTTTGGTCTATAACATGTTGCTTATATAGTGTGTCATAATTAGGGTTATAGCATGTAAACCCTAATTGACATGACTCTTCATTTCTTGGATCCATGGGTTCAAAAACACCATGGCATCTCCATGGAGCATCCTATGGGTTTTAGCTCAACTTGATAATCCATGGAGCATTAGCCCGCTATAACTAGTCTTCTTTTGATCACTTAAGTAATTCCAAATTAATTCTTGATCAATACTAATTAAATAATATTATTAATATATTAGAACTTATAATATATTAATAAACCTTAAGTGTTTTTTCTCTCAATTTAGCCCATCCAAATGTATGATGCCATGCAACCCAAATGGACCATGCTAATCCGGTCAAGTACATTCTAGAAATAGTTATGAACTTAGACACCTAATCCAATAGTATCCCACTTGGATAAGTCTAATAACTATAAATGCATAAATGACCTCAGGAACCGATGAGTAATCGTAGCTCTTTCAAGGACTCGCGGAACTGAGATGATGATGATACACCATTTATGATAAGTGATCATGTAATCCTCTGTTCTAGATATCAACCGAGAAAATACATGGAACAATGTCTTACTTATTGTCCAGCAGTTTGTTTCCCGATTTCCGATTTGTTTGACATAGAACTTAATTGAACACATCAACTTAGTTCTGACCGGGCCCGGTACATGGGTCAACACAAAATCATCGAGGGGCACAGATATCGCTTCTAATCCAAGAAGGAACTAGATAAACTTCGACTCATATGCTTGTTCTACTACTTGTTGAATCATATATAAAGGCACATTTTATAACATCGAGTTACCAATGCGTTTTCTTACGATCAATGTATAACCAACTCATAGGCAACAAGTCATATCTCTAGGTTTGGAGACTTACATGATGTTAACGTCTCACGATCACACGAGATAAATTCCAGAAAAATGATACCAGTGAGCGTGGGTTGAATCCAATACTCATAACTTATGAGCACTCATGAGTATTGTAGCTATGTCGAACATCTTAGACCTCTACAAGTCAACCTCATGACCGTCTTAATTCATATCTACTTCCGACATATGACCGACTGTTGGAGAATTTGAATAATATGATATACCATAACATAATTATTCTGGAAGTCAAAACATGCAAAATGGAATGATAGTAAACGATTGACAAAGGATAGCAACACTTTAATCATAAATAAATACAACTTTTATTCATCATCAAATGTCAATTACACTTTACACATTTCAAAGCTATCTAACTACTAAAACTAATATCATCCATCTGCCCTATACTCCTTACATGCTGGAGATGCTTAACCCTGCCCAGTCACTTTGTGAGGGGATATGCCACGTTCTCATCCGATGATACCCTCTTTGCCATGATGAGTCCTTCTTCTATTCAATGTTTGATGAAATGATATTTTTTGTCGATGTGTCTGGATCTCCCGTGATCCCTTGGTTCCTTCGCTAAGGCAATTGCACTTTCACTATCATAGAAAATCTCTATAGGCTCCTTTATAGCTGGTATAACTCCAAGGTCTCCAATGAAGTTCTTTATCCATATAGCCTCCTTTGTTGCCTCACTTGTCACTATAAGAAATACCTCGCAGCAAACATACTGGCCAAATATTCTGGTGAAAAGGTTTCAACTCTATGCTAGCTAATGGGGTTTACCTCGAAACTCTGAAATTGGAAGCTCGTTATCTCTTTTACTTCTCCTAGGAAACATGGACAACACAACTCTTGTCACGGAAGGTGACGTCTCATCTATCGGTTGATTGCTCAAATCATACCGTGATCCTCCAATAGGCATCATCGCTACTCATCCCTGAGTCTTGTGACTCCAACTCGCATCTCTCAGAAACTGACTCAATTTCCCTCTCAAGGTATGCTCTATTGAAACTCGTTTAGCATGGTCCTCTGGCCCCACACTCTGTCACATATGGTCTCAGTCTAATCAATCACAATGGGATAACCAATAAACTCTAAAGCACTAACCACCACGAATCATGGTACTTGAATCATGATATTACCTCTCAATCTACTACAAATCATGGTACTCGAACCATGTTATCACCTCTCAATCTGCTACTAATCATGGTACTCGAACCATGTTATTACCTCTCAATCTACTACTCAGAACCCCTGGAATTCTCCCTGTTTTGAGTATGGGTCCTTTGCTTTCAGTAGTACGGGCCCATACTACCTCCCACATCTACTTATACTTTCCACACGGATCGTCCCAGAATTTCTAAGTAGCTGCTCAACCTTCTCGATCACCTATCCCGATACACCTGATCGCTACCTAACGAATACTCTCCTCTATCAGCATACTCTTCTGACTAGAGTCACTCACTATGCTCTTCCTAGGTTCTCACACTTCTCAACCATCAGCTGCTGAAGAACTCCATATGATGCCAACCATCTAACTTTTGAATATCG